TCCATCCACATTTCTGCAAATGATCCAATTTCATTCCTTTTTATGGCTGAGTAATATTCCGTTGTATATATGTACATCTTCTTTATCCATTCATCTGTCAATGGACACTTAGGCTGCTTCCATTACCTGGCTATTGTAAATAGTGCTGCAATGAACATTGGGGTGCATGTGTCTTTTTGAATTATGGTTTTCTCTGGCCAAACCCTTTCAAAATAGATCACTGTAGTCATGAAATAAGCACATGATCAGGGTTTAAAAACATAAGGGCCATTTTATTAGTGACTTTTAAAAACTTTATTTCTTCTTTTTCTTGTCTCTCTTTCTTATTTATACTTCTTTATTACAGCACATGAAAATAGCTGGACAAATTGTCACCAAATTTGAAGAGTGTCTTTGGGCTTGGCTGACTTAAAATACAAGTTAGGTGGTATACACAAACTTCTTAGTGAGGTCCTAAGGGCCTACAGAGATGGGCTGACACCATCTTGAACCTTGAAAATGAGCATGAGGGGCTTCCCTGGTGGCGCAGTGGTTGGGAGTCCGCCTGCCGATGAAGGGGACGCGGGTTCGTGCCCCGGTCCAGGAAGATCCCACGTGCCGCGGAGCAGCTGGGCCCGTGAGCCGTGGCCGCTGGGCCTGCACGTCCGGAGCCTGTGCTCCGCAACGGGAGAGGCCACAGCAGTGAGAGGCCCGCGTACCGCAAAAAAAAAAAAAAAAAAAAAATTTGAGCAATGAGGCCTGTGGTGGGATGAAAAATACCACCTCCAAAAGATATCCACATCCTAATCCCTAGAACATGTGAATATTAATTTACAGGGAAAACAAGTCTATAGATACGATTGAGTTAAGAATTTTGAAATCATTTTGGATTATCTGGGTAGGCCCTAAATGCAATCACAAATGTACTTATGAGACAGCAGAGGGAGATTACACACACACACACACACACACACAGAGGCAGTGTGAAGACAGAGGTAGAGACTGCAGCAACGTGGCCACTAGCCAAGTGATGTCAGCAGCTACCAAAAGCTGGAAGAGGGCAGGAAGGATTCTTCCCTAGAGCCTTAGAAGGGAGCATAGCGCTGCCAATAACTTCATTTCGAATCTCTGGACTCCAGAACTGTGAGGAATGAATTTCTGCTGTTTTAAACTACCCAGTTTGTGGTAATTTGTTACAGCATCCACAGACAATCAGTAAAACAGCCCAATAGGTGTTTCAGATAACAGCTCCAATAGCTTCGATGAATTGAAGGCAAACATGATTTTTAGGGACTTCCCTGGTGGCCCAGTGGTTAAGACTCTGTGCTTCCACTGCACGGGGCATGGGTTTGATCACTAGTGGGGAAACTGAGAACCCGCATGCTGCAAAAAAACAAAGAAACAAAAACATGATTTTTAAATGTTGGGTTTTGACCAAATTATTTCTCCTACGGACAATTCCCTGTATCAGGTTGAAACATGTATTTGCCGTTTCTTTAGGTCAAAAACACTTATGTCACCGGTAAATGATGGGATTTATTAATTTAGAAATGAATATCCCAATGACAAAAAATATACCATATGTTACAAGGCTATGAATTTTGACAGATTCACCATGTAAATTAGTAATAGGGCCTACTTTTCCTGGATTTCCTTATCAAAAATACTAGAAAGCATTTGGCAAATTTGGGGAATGTTTACAGCCTGATTCAGTTATCTTTAATAGCTTTTTTTCAGGTTACACAGACTAGAGCTAACCTTCATATCAGGATCTGCAGAGACCTATTATACAGGCAGGGATGACTCCTTGTTAAAGAGAAAATGGTGGTCTTGAGAGGAAACACAACAGTAGGTTACAAATAGCGTTAGCTGTTTGCTTTGAATAAGTTCATAGTAAAGGACAAGATTTTAAACTGGAAAAATAGAAATTTTGTCAGTCAAAAATATAGTACGTTTGAGAGCAGAATCGTTGTGAGAATAAAACAAACAAAAACTTCAAAGACTGAAAAATTGCTCACACATACCAGAGTTAAGAAAACTGCAACTGGAGCAAACAAGGAACTTGTATGTGACAAAAATGGTTTTCATTTGGAAAAAGAAACCAAGTCAAGAGAGCTAGGTTGGTTTTAGTGACACACAAGGATTCTTGTGGAAATCAAAGGACCAGAGCCATAACAGGGCTTGGCCTTCCTGAGATCAGGGCTGCAGGATGTTCACTCTTCAACATGGCTCTTGGTCCCTAAGCAGCAGACACCTCTGGAATTTCAACATCTAAAGGTACATGTAAAAGGTAAGCTTTCATGGTCAAAGTGCTTTTGTAAAGTAGCTTAAAATGGTTTCTACAGCATTTGTCAAACTCTTTATCATTTACCATGTATTTTGAATCATCAAGCATGGGGTGTAAGGTACATTTTCCTAAAGATCTTTCTTTTTAAAATTTATTTTATTGAAGTATAGTTTATTTACAATGTTGTGTTAATTTCTGCTGTACAGCAAAGTGATTCAGTTATACACATATATACATTCTTTTTCATATTTTTTCCATTATGGTTTATCACAGGATATTGGGTATAGTTCCCTGTGCTATATAGTAGGACCTTGTTGTTTATCCTTTCTATATAAATAATGGTTTACATCTGCTAAACCCTAACTTCCAATCCACCCCATCCCCCCGAACTTGGCAACTACAAGTCTATGTTCTCCATGTCTGTGAGTCTGTTTCTGTTTCATAGGTAAGTTCATTTGCGTTGTATTTTAGACTCCACCTATGTGAAATCATATGGCATTTGTCTTTCTCTTTCTGACTTACTTCACTGCTATGAACATTGGGGTGCATGTATCTTTTTCAATTAGAGTTTTGTCCAGATCTATGCCCAGGAGTGGGATTGCTGGATCACATGGCAACTCTATTTTTAGTTTTTTGAGGAACCTGCATACTGTTTTCCATAATGGCTGCACCAATTTACATTCCCACCAACAGTGTAGATGGGTTCCCTTCCCTCTACACTTTCTCCAGCACTTGTTATGTGTCGATTTTTTTTAATGATGGCCATTCTGACCAGTTTAAGGTAGTACCTCATTGTAGTTTTGATTTGCATTTCTCTAATAATTAGCGATGTTTAGCATCTATTCATGTGCCTGTTGGCCATTTGTATGTCTTCTTTGGAGAAATGTCTATTTAGGCCTTCTGCCCATTTTTCAATTGGGTTATTTTTGTTGAGTTGTATGAGCTGTTTGTATATTTTGGAAATTAAGCCCTTGTCAGTCGCATCATTTGCAAATATTTTCTCCCAGTTCGTAGGTTGTCTTTTCATTTTATGGCTTCCTTTGCTGTACAAAAACTTGTTTGATTAGGTTTCATTTGTTTATTTTTGCTTTTATTTCTATTGCCTTGGGAGATGAACCTAAGAAAACATTGGTATGATTTATGTCAGAGAATGTTTTGTCTATGTTCTCTTTTAGGAGTTTGATGGTGTCATGTCTTATATCTAAGTCTCATTTTCCTAAAGATCTTTTAAAGTAAGAGCCCGTGAACTGGTGGACCACAATATACATTCTGAGACTCTGTGCTTGGCATTCTCATTGTACAGGATGACTCTAACCTCTGAGCCTCTGCTAGAGTTAGCACCGACAGGGCTGGGAGGAAGCCAGTACAAATTACCGGGGCCCGGAGGTCCAGAAGCAGACCATGGGCCAGTCAACACTGCCTATCAATACCAATTCCATGTAACAATTTTTAGCCTGTCTGCCTTTGCTGGGAAATCTGTAGTCACACTCAGCAGCTGTGAACCTAACACCCATAGATAAGTTTAATTGTTCTCATTTTCATTTACTTGACACCACAGACCAAAGTGTTCTTTGCCACAATCAGGGAATGGCAACACTCCCTTTACTATATGGATATTACAATGTTAGAAATCAGAAGAGTTACCGTAACCGTAAAGAACCACTACAATGTAGCAACTGACGTTTTCATATTGTATTTTGCAGCTCTAAAACATTTGACCATTTTTAGGAGGATTTCATGATTTCAAGGGAAATTAGCATTTAAAACAGAATTAGGCATTCGTCCACACTCACTGAACTATACATGTTTACAGAGGGTAAACTTTACAGTTTATAACTCATACCTCAATAAACCTGTCTTTAAAACAATTAGGGAACTCTACATTTTAGTATATTCTCATGAGGAAGGTACTTGCTTGAAGACTTGTGAAATTCTTGGCCAGTTCTGGGTGATGAGGTTATCACTGCAGACAACCATGGTTCAAATCAAATGAAGCCCTCTGGGAGATGATGTGAAACCTAACTGTTTTCCTATGAGATTAGGAAGCTGGTGTGGTAGACGTGAAATTGTGCCTTAGATTTTCTACAAGAATCTGGTTGTACAGGCCATGCTCCCCAAGAACTGCTCTCCACCAATTACTGAGCATGGTGGGGTCCAAAGGCAGGCCAGCTCCTGGAGACATGAAACTCCTCAGAATCGTAACTTTGTATTGAGGGCCCTGTCAGCCTTGCTGGAACTTTCTTCGAACTGCACTGATGTCTGACACCTTCTTTAATTCCTTCCCTGCCTCACGACCTCTCAGCACTAAGGCTCTCCCAGCCTCCTCCCGCCTCCTCTCCTTTGCCCCTCATTGTTATTCCCTGCCCCAAATCTCTTGTATCAATATACCTAACGCCATCTCAGAGACTGCTCCCCAGATGACCTGAACTAACGCACTGGGGGATTTATCGTCCCCCCTCCTTACTTTGGCTGAGGGTTGCTCCCAGGGACATTAGGCAGTGGACACTCCAGCCTGTAGCACAGGCCAAGAGAAAGCCCTCAGGCAGAGCTGCAGGTCTATGCAGGACACCATGGCATCAATAAGGATATGGGTCACCATCCTCACCTGGTAGAAGAGCAGTTACAGTTCCTTATGCCTATGGTTTACGTTGTCTCAATAAAGTAACTTTCCTTTTCAAAAATCTTCCTCATCTATTTTGGAAGTATTTTGGAAGACTGCGCCGAAAGAAAAAACTGCAAAGACAAAACCTCAGCTTTATTAAAATGTCACCCTCTGAATTTATCTTTTGACAATTTCCTTCCTAAGAAAGACTGTCCGTTAGCTATTTCAGGAATAAAAATCTTTGGGTTGTGAAACGAAAACCACTTGTTTTATGCACAGTTCTATGCTAAATTGACCTGACATCAAGGTCCTAGCGTGGTGTTCAAACTCATTCCTAAAACAGCCTGATGGATGTCACATGATGAAAAATCTGAGTTTACTTCAAGAGTCCTTAAGTGCAGATATAGGAAAAGTAATCGGTTCAGTGCATTTGGAAACACAAATTTAAGGAACAAACGATGTGCATGTCATATATATATGCGAGTTTATATGTTTTAGTCCATTTAAGTTGAGAATAAGTGTTCTATTTTAATTCTATTTACTAGGCCACTTTCTCCAGAATGAATTCATCCAGAATGAATCTGTAGGGATAAGCAATGATCCTACAATAAAGATAAAATTGACAGAGCAATTAGAGTGCATGACACTGTTCTAAATATTATTTGACTTGACCAAGGGTACACATGCTAATAGTCTCACTATATCAGTCATCTGAAATGCTCCAACTAAAATTAGTCACCAGCCAAATATAACAAAGGTTCTATTTAAAAATTAATTTAATGCTTGGCTAAAGCTTAATTACATATATAATTATCAAACAATAGTCCTTAATTTCCAAAAAGTTCCTCTTTTGAAAATCACAGAATCAGAAAGCATAAACTTTAAAACAAGTTCTCTGAGTATTTACAACATGGTATAAACATTACAGAAGACCATGGATATTAAACTGCTTGGGTGTAGCTCATCAGCAAGGCGTGTTCTTTATTGCATATCATAACTCACATATGTGAGATTTAAAATATAATGCTAGATTACTAAAATCCAAATGCATGTATTTTTTTAAGCTGGTCAGGGAGTAAAATCATGAATGAGACAGGAGAGTCAGCCCCAAACCATGCATTAGGTTGTGGATCTATTATTTCCAAAAATGAAACTTCTATGTTCTTTTCAAAAACCTATGTTGCATATATTTATTTAGAGCTCACATTAAACGTACAGTTGACTGTAATGCTAATTCAAGGAAGAAAAGTTCACCATTCACCAATGACTAAGTCCACACTCAACTCTCAATTTTAAGGCAGCACAGCTACGGTGATAGCAACTGCTAACCAAAAGGTGACGAATACTTAGTCACTTGCCAGCCCTTTTGTTGCAACAGTGTAGTAATTTCCCTAAGACAATTTGCTACTGAATAATTTTCTGCTGTTAAAAGGCTTACTCTGTAGAAAAACACCACAAATTTCCAGTGTGAAAGTAACTCCATGGTGGTATAAATATATATATATATATATGCATAATTATACAATATACACTGCACACATTGTTTACAGAGAACAATTAGCTGAGAGAGTTAATTTAAATGACCATATAAAATACTTCTGTAAACAAAGTATGACAGGCAGTAAGGAAACCATTCACAGACTTCCTAGAAATAATCTGAATTCATTTCATTCTGAAGAAATCGCATTTAAAGACACAGTATTGAATATTAATAATGTTCTTTGTATTAAAACAAGAGTCAATATTTTACAGTTTAAGAAACTTTACATATATACAAAATTTTTACATTGGGAATGGTATTAGAACAAATTAGGCTTCTTTTCAGTCTCATAGATCTATTTTCCTTCGATCAAAGACTTAAATTCTTTCACATTGTGGTCACTTGCAACAGACATGGCGTGATCCAGAGCTCGAACACTTGCAAGGAGTTTTACTATCTGTTTTATGTTTTCCCTAAAGGAGAAAAAAGGAAACACGGATCAGCAGGTTACAGCATGTGGGAAAAAAAATTGTCCATATTAAAAAAAAAAAACCCGCCCATGTTTAAATACCCAGAAACAGAGGACCCATTTTCAAAACTAAAAACACCCCAAAATCTCATTCAGATCCATGATTTTCATTAATACCGAGAAAGGAGAGAAAGCACTCTATTGCCTAACTTAACTACTTCAGAGCTCTGCCTTCCATTCCTTCCCAAACCAGAGTCCCAGCTCTCCTAGAGTACACCTGGAACACAAATTATATTCGTGGGTATTCATGACCAACCCATCAAGAGCCAGAGTAATTTCCACTCCTCCAAAATTCACTAATAAAGTATAACCTGGCTTCTTTTTTTTTTTTTGCGGTACGCGGGCCTCTCACTGTTGTGGCCTCTCCCCTTGCGGAGCACAGGCTCCGGACGCGCAGGCTCAGCGGCCATGGCTCACGGGCCCGGCCGCTCCGCGGCATGTGGGATCTTCCTGGACCGGGGCACGAACCCATGTCCCCTGCATCGGCAGGCGGACTCTCAACCACTGCGCCACCAGGGAAGCCCAACCTGGCTTCTTTTATCACCCAGCTAGAAGTCATTCTCAGTAATCCTCAAATTTTAGCATACATCAGGATTACCTAGAAGAGCGCTAAAACACAGATCACCAGGCCCCACCTTCAGAATTCTGTTCAGCAGGTCTGGAGCGGGGCCTGAGAATTTGCATTTCTAACAAAGCTCCCAGGTGATGCTGCCAGGAACTACTTTTAACATTTACAATAGTTTGAACCACTTGTGAGAAACAACACACAATGTGACATTATTGGCTGTCTCTTCTCTACAAAATTGTAGTAAGCACCTTTTAGGGAAGGATTATAATTTTTAAGATTTTGTGACTCACACTCATAAAGTGGAACCTACTTTATGTGCACTGCACACAGCAGGTGCTTAAACAGCTGCTGAAATTCTTTTCCATAGAAAAGTAAATAGTGTTTGTTGATACTTACTCCCAAACAAAAACACTGTTACATATATAAATCAAAGTTTAAAAAAAGTGAAGTGAATAGGATTTATCTAGTAAAAAACAACACATTGAGAAGAAATATTAGTGCCAATAAATAACAACCAACAGCAAAATGACATGGTAAGGATGAAATAAAAATATAAACCAGAGAATTCCCTGGTGGTCCAGAGGTTAGCACTCCAAGCTCTCACTGCCAAGGGCCTGGGTTCGATCACTGGTCGGGGAACTAAAACCCCACAAGCGACACAGTGTGGCCAAAAAAAAAACCCCAAAATCACCTGGCAAAGATTTTTTTTTAACCACTGAAGTATTTACTATCTACTTTGCCTTTAATTTTATTATAAAAGATAGCAAATTTTCTCTCAAGAAAATAAGGTTCTTTTTCCTGGAAGGGGAACAGGGGAAAAGAAAAGGATTTTGTTAGGGGGTATGACTAATGGTGTGATCAAAATGAAAATGAAACTCTGACATTAGGAAGAATATACGAAATGAAACTTTAAAAAATAAAATTCGTCTTTGGGAATTCCTTGGTGGTCCAGTGGTTAGGACTCGGCGCTTTCACTGTGGTGGGCCTGGGTTCAATCCCTGGTCTGGGAACTAAGATCCCACAAGCCATGCAGTGTGGCCAAAAAAAAACCAAAAAAAAAACGAAAAACAAAACAAAAATAAAAATTCTTCCAAATGGTGGTACTAGTTGTTATTATTACTACTACTTACTTTTTATGCTAGAGAGCTACCCCCAAATTCCATGAACACCCAAGACAATGTGCTGGAAAAGGGATAATGGTTTGTTCATTCCTTCCTTGAAACCTTGATAAAAAATATGTATAAGCTGCTCCCCATAAATCATGAGTGATGACTTAGTCTATGATATGGATATAGAAAAACTCAATATAGAGCACAAACATCTCAAAATTGAGATATAACCTTCAATATACTTTGGGTTTCAGTGGCTATCTTTTCTAGGGTTTGTATCTGTAAAATGAACCTCCAAAGACCAAGATCCATGACATTCTAAGAGCCTGAGATTTCCCCAATTATTCAAGGGAGGAGACAGAAAAAGCAATGATTCACTTACCAGAAATCTTCCCTTAATATCTTCATAAATAAAATATTGAAAAAAGATTAGGTAAAAGTTGCAAAAATGAAAAAAATAATGTGTATTTTTGGTAGGTTTATCAATACTAAGTCAATGTTAACAATTTAAAGTAAAATATAGGGCTTCCCTGGTGGCACAGTGATTAAGAGTCTGCCTGCCAACGCAGGGGACATGGGTTCAAGCCCTGGTCCGGGAAGATCCCACAGGCCGCAGAGCAACTAAGGCTGTGCGTGCGCCGCAACTACTGAGCCTGCGCTCTAGAGCCTGCGAGCCACAACTACTGAAGCCCATGTGCCTCGAGCCTGTGCTCTGCAACAAGGGAAGCCACCACAGTGAGAAGCCTGCGCACCGCAACGAAGAGTAGCTGCCGCTCTCTGCAACTAGAGAAAGGCCGCGCGCAACAACAAAGACCCAGAGCAGCCAAAACTAAATCAATTAATTTAAAAAAAAAGAAAGAAAAGAATCAAAATAAAATAAAAATTAAAGTAAAAGATAACCATGTCTCTACTGAAAACATTTTAATAATACTAAACCTAACAACTAAAGACTCTAGATCACTGTTTCATTCTATAATGACAAATAATTACCTTGCATTTCTTTTTTCCACATCAGAGCACCCGATACTGTTTCTGTAAATTGTATCTGCTAAGTGTACAAGGTATCGACAGAAGTTTTCTAACTGAGAAATAGTTCTTTCTCCTTTCAGATTCATGAACCACTGCTTGGGGAAACAACTGATCACCTATGAAGAAGAAAGAAGTAAACAGTTAAAACAAAAATAAATTAAAGCATCTAAAAGCTGAGTCTAGATAATGCGTATAATGTACTTAACTAGAAGACTTGCTATTGAGCAACATATAACTAATTACTTAGAAGGGATATTCTTTTAAACCTGATTTTCTACATAAACTATACAAATACACCTAGATATACCCTAATTTTAAACTTCAATATATAGACACTCAAAGCAAGAGATAAATAATTTCTCCAATATTTAAGTAAATTAGGGACATAAGATTGATAACCAATTGCTTCATTTTCCAGTCTTCCAGAAAGCCCTAAATGAACTGAACTGTCCTTTGATCAGCAGCTTTTGATGTAAAAACATGTATAGCATAAGTACCAAACTGCAGCCTCTCCCCGTGCCAAACAGTTCAGTAAGTAGGCATCCTTGCTGGCAGTAGGAGCCGTGCTGGCCCAGAGAAGTGAAGAGAGCATCACACCGGAGGGGCAGCCTAGGGCAAGAGCCCAAGCAGGACGCGAACAGGGCATGGTGGCAACCTGGCATGGGGTACCAAAACCCGAGCAAGGGGAGGCTGTTTCCCACCCGGGAGAAAGCAGCCAGTGGGTAGAGACAGCTCCCCACCAAAGAACCCAGGGATGCTTGGAGAAACAACGGATTCCAGAGCTGGGCCAAGCAGGTACAAGATAAGCCTGGAACATCGTGTGCCAGAAAGCAAGAAAGTGCTCCCCCCAAATTAGAGGACATGCCACAAGGTCACAGAGGTCAACTTGAAGGGACTCACACTAATGAAGTCTAGGACAATTCCTGACAAAGATGCAAAATCTGAATCTATTCATGAGAGAATATCAGACAAACCCAAATTGAGGGACATTCTACAAAATAACTGGCTTATCATCTTCAGAAGGTATGAAGGTCAAGGAATCAAGCACTCTTCCAGATTAAAGGAGACTAAAGAGACGTGACAATTAAATGCAAAGGATGATCTGGGAATTTCTTTTGCCAGTTCCTTTGGATATTATTGAGATAGCTGATAAAACGTGAAAAGGGGCCTAAGGATTAGGTGACAGTAATATATAAATGTTAATTTCCTGATGTTGATGGTCATATTGTAATCGTGTACAAGAAAATCCATGTTTATAGGAAACAGACACAAAACTATTTGAGGGTGAGGGAGTATCATGTCAGAGAATTACTCTGATATTGTTAGGTCGAAAAACTGTACTGTACTTGCACATTTTCTTTAATCATATGATTGTTTAAAAAATAGTTTAAAAAATTATCAAAGCTGTATAACTCACGTATATGAAGTAAAAAAAAATTAACTAAAATTATTTCTTAAATGAGAGAAGAGACCATTTCTTTAGTAACACTTAAAATAGCATTCATTCAACTGTTAAAAAAAATTATCCCCAAATTAAAACTTTTATTAATACCTATAAAAATATTGATACAGATAGATGGATAGAAGGACAAATATACACATATATAACAGTACAACTTTTTATGTAAAAAATGCTAAGGGGAGATTGTCAACATTATACCAACTTCGATAATCAAAGGGGTTTTCATGAAATTCTCAAATCTCTTCAAACAAGGAAAACTTAATCCATCTTAACTCGTATGCTTTAAAAACTACAATATGTGTCATTTAACTCACATTTTGGGCTTTTTTGATGCTGTCATCGCCATATTCTGAATTCTGAAAAGCCATGAGAATGTATCTATTTAATAAACCGTCTATTGATAATTCCTGAAGAGTTTTGTTTGAGAAAATGCCATACCATTGAAGAAAATTCCCTAAGAGCTAGAAAGAAGAAGAAAATTATTTTCCCCCAGTTTTATTGAGATATAATTGACATGTAACATTGTGTAAGTTTAAGGCATACAACAAAATGATTTAAATATATATTGTGAAATAATCACCATAAGTTAACATCCTTCCCCTCACGCAGTTACAAATCTTTTTTCTATTCTCTTAGCAACTTTCAAATATACAATACACTATTGTTAATTACAGTCACCATGTTGTACATTACATCCCCAGAACTTATCTTATCTTACAACTGGAAGTCTGTACCTTCTGATCCCCCTTTATCCAATCTCCCCACAACTCCCCACCTGTGGCAACCACAAATCTGATTTCTATTACTAAAAGTTTGGTTTTTTGAGAAGAAAAAAAAATTGAGAGGCAATGTAAAGCAGTTAAGTACAAAGTAAATTACTTACACAATAAAACACCTTATGAAATACCCTGGACCATGTCTTGCCAAAGCACTAATAAGCAGTTTTGAAGGGTCTGAATATTTCTGATAATGACTGAGGTTAACTAAAATTTAAATAGCCACATGGAGCTAGTGTTTACTATAGTGGACAATGCAGATACAGACCATTTCCCATCATAACAGAAAGTACTGGTGGGCAAATGATGATTCTTAGATAAATGTCCTCCCTTGAAAATCATGCCTAAACCAGTCCTGTGACCCTGCAAAAAGATGGAAATTCTTTTTTTGACTACCACATTGCATGCTTACCAGACTTCATGAACCTGGATATTGGAACTACTTAAGCTCAATACATATAAAATGGAAGCCCCCGCCCATTCCACCATAAAATTCTAAGTTCCCAGTATTTCTCATCTTAGGAAATGGCAACGCTATCCAACAATTCAATCGAGCCAGAGCCTACATGAGCCTTATCATTCTCGCCCTCGCCCTCAAGCTGTCGAACCCCACCTCTCCCCATTCTGTGCCTCTCTCTCAGTCCTTGCCGCCATGCCCCTGATCGAAGCTGCCGTCATCTCTTTGTGGGCCCTGCAGTTATTCAACTGACTACGAGGAACAGCGCTGGTCTAGTTCTCCTCCAGCAGGGCTCTGTGAGAGAACTAAAACCTACAGAAAATGATCTGAGTGACTCCTTACATAATTTTCCCAACGATGGTACAAGCTAGTACCCTTCTAGCTGCATACGCAATGGAGGCCTTAGGGCATCAGGTATTAATTCTTCCACAGAAACCCAGCTGAGAAGAGCTGCTCAAGAGTTTGACTGGCCTGAGTTAGACTCCCATCTCTGCCACTTAACAAAGGGACGAGCCTGGGCAGGTTATTCTGTGCCTCACTGTCCCATCAGCAGAGTCAAGCTCATAGGGCTGCTGTGAGGATTCAATGAGATAATGTGTGCTGCAGTGCTTGGCACACAGTAAATATGTAATAAGTACTAATTTCCATTTTCATCATTACTATCCTCACCTACTTCATTTCATTATCCCCACACAGAAGCCAGAATATGTTAAAAAGGGCAATATTTTCATGTCACTTCCCTACAAAAACACTTCCACAACCCATATAAGAGCAAATGATTCTCAGCAAAGGAACAAAAGCAATTTAATTTTAAAAAGGGTAGTCTTTTCAACAAACTGTGCTGGGACAAAGGAACGTCAAGGCCTCATGCCCTATATAAAAATTAACTCAAAATGGATCACAGACTTAAATGTAAAACCTAAAACTATGAAATGTCTAGGAGAAAGGATAGGAAAAAAACTCTGTGGCCTTGTATTCGGCAAAGATTTCTTAGATGCAACACCTAAAGCACAACTCATAACAGGAAAAGACAGTAAGTTGGACTTCATCAAAATGAAGAACTTCTGCACTCTGAAACACTGTTAAGACACAGACTGGGGGGAAAAACTCTTTGCAGATCATGTATCTGATAAAGTACTTGTTTCAAGAATACAAAACTCAAAGCTCAATAATAAGAAGAACGAATTTTTAAAAATGGGCAAAAGATTTGAACAGATACTTCATCGAAGAACATATACAAATGGCAAGTAAGCACATGAAAACATGCCTGGGCTTCCCTGGTGGCACAGTGGCTAAGAATCCACCCGTCAATGCAGGGGACATGAGTTCAAGCCCTGGTCCGGGAAGATCTCACATGCCGCGGAGCAACTAAGCCCGTGCGCCACAACTACTGAAGCCCACGTGCCTAGAGCCCATGCTCTGCAACAAGAGAAGCCACTGCAATGAGAAGCCCGCGCACTGCAACGAAGAGTAGCCCCCGCTAGCCGCAAGCAGCAACGAAGACCTAACACAGCCAAAAATAAATAAAATAAATAAATTTATTTATAAAAAAGAGGAAAAAAAAAGGAAACATGCTCAACATCATCAGTTGTTAGGAAAATGCAAATTAAAATAATAACAAGACACAACTATACATCTAGGAGAATGACTTAAAAAAAATAAAAACCCTGAAGATACCAAGTGTGGTGAGTGGTGAGAAAGAAGAATAACTAGAACGCTAATATATTGTTGGTTTAGAAAACAGCTTTGCCTAGGTATTTACCCAAGTGATGAAAACTTATATACCCAGAAAAACCTGTGTGCAAACAGGTTTATTCATAATTACTCCAAACTGGAAACAATCCAGTGTCCCTCAATTGGGGAATGGATAAAAAACAAAACAAAAAAATCCTGTGGGATATCCACCATACGATGGAATACTACTTGGCAATAAAAAGGAGTGAACACAAGACAACACTGGTAAATCACGAATGCATTGTTAAGTGAATGAAGCCAGACTCAAAAGGCTACTTAGTATGTAATTCTATTCCTAAGACATTCTCATAAAGAAAACTACAGGACAATAAGAAGGGGTGGCCAGGCCGTAGGGGTGGGCTTGACTACAAAGGGGCATGGGGAATCTGGGGGAGATGATGGAAGCATTATACATCTTGATTTAGGGAGTGGTTACATGTCTACATGTAAATTAGAGCTCCCCTATCATCTGAGCTGCTCATCTCTTCCCTAACTCTAGCCATCCTGGCCTTTTCTCAGTTCTAGTATACCCTGCTCTCCCTTACCTCAGGGCCAACTAATAACCTAAATATCACTTCCTCAGGGTGGAAGGGAATCTTCTGTGACTCATCCGTCAAGGTATTTGTGACCCTTGTCATATGCTCCCATACAACTTTGAATTTTTTTTCAAAACTCATCACACCTGAGATTACTTATTTGCTACTGCCAATTGAGCGTGGTTATAAACGCCATGAAGGCTCTACTTCTATCTTAATTCAGTGCTATATTTCCACAACTTAGAAGAGTATCTGGTACTCTCCTTGCTGTGGTTTAGTAAGGCATCTTGTTGGCTAGTTTGGACCTTACTGGAACTCAGAATACATTTTCACCTCTGCAAACATCAAACCTGAATAAACTTTTGGAATAAAATTAGTTTGTATGAAGTCAAACAAAATCTGAAGTCTTTTAGATAGCCTACAGACACGTACCTTAACTGAAGACCAAAACTGTCGTTGAAAAAACAAGTAAGGCCCAGAATTTTTATTTTCCAAGACACTAAGAAAAAAAGAGAAACACATCATGATCAAAGTTGTGTGATAAATGCCATCTGATTCCTAGAAGATTTCTGTAAGTAAAAGGGGTGAACATAAGAAGTTAACTAATTCTTCAAATTTTCAAACAACTGTATTCCAGAAGGTAATTTTAAAAGGTAACGGCAATTTACTGTGAGACACTAAGGGTTATGCTGCGTAAGGGAGCAATTTCCCCACTGAGCCACTCTCTTTGGGCTACACGTTTATACTATGTAGGTAAAGCTTGTATTTCAAGCTATGCTTAGTTTTCCGGAGTTTAAGAAGTCTTCTCTGAAAAATAATGGAGAATATTATCATCTTTAATGTTCTTAGGAGTTACTTACTTTTTGGGATACAAGGGCATGAATACATCATCATCTAAAGTTCTTCTCATTCTCAATAGAAGTGCTTTTAGGTACACCTAAGGAGTTAAAAACAGATCATGCATTTTAATAAGGGTTATGATAAAAGTTAAATTTTAGTAAATAAAAATAAGCAATATTCCAAATCATACAGAGTATTCAATTTTGAGTGAACAGCATCTCAAATTTTTTAACTTTCCCCACTGACGGTTCTAAGGTCTTTAATATTTACTACTTACTCTTCGTTCAGCCCTCATGAATTACCAAGCAATGAAGCCATTTAGAAATCTTCCAACCTCTTAATCTACTATATAAAGATTTAAGATCAGACCTATAATCTGGTTCCTCTCAAAATGAGGTCAGTGAAAATAAAACAATGATAAGGAGTACTTTTTCATATCTAAATAGCTCATAAGAATGTTCAGTGCAGGCAGTGGCAATCTGAAGTTCTGAAACTTTATAAAACAATACCTCATTATTTTACATGCTATTTAAATGTTTCAGCATTTAAATGATCAATTGTTACCCATTCCAGTAGTTTTTCTTTTCCCGAAAAAAATACAGGTCTTCAAGGGATGTGTGATTAGTCCGATTGAGAATGGGGGTGGGGTGGTGAGGAGGGTGAAAACAGTACAAAGGAGAGGCTATCTAGACTAATTACATCATCTTTCCCAATCGATATTCTGAAACTAAAAACTACTATCTCAAATTTTGTATATTTCAGGCTATAAAGGACAGATGCCTTAAGTGGGAGAATCAGATTTTCTTGCTGGCTCAGAATATAACCACTCATTCTCTCAACTCTTGCTCATTTTCAAAGGGAAAGGAGAAGACAAAATAATAAATTTTAAAAAATTTAAAAAACCTTTCATAGATAATAATTAAATTACCTGTGTATTTTTGTTTTCTGCATTCACTACTGAAGGATACCCATTTATTAATTTTAGAGTAATTCCAACCATTCTTGAAGTCTGTGTTGTAGAAAAGGGGTCCCACATATTTTCAGCTATCACTATTAAGGGAAAAAAAAAAGCAGAATGTACTGAGATACAGAAGTAAACTGCTGCTGACTTGAATCTGACGTCAAGCAGTCCCCAACTTAGAAACGCCAATCATGACGTTTTTCTTCCTCTAGAGTGTAAGCTTCAGTCTTCTTTGTCCTCTTAACCGCGGGAACGTTGAAGATTAGGCGCATGTGGCGAGGGGACAGATTCCTATGATTTTCTGCTTCTTGGTGAAAATAAAGATTCGGGAAAGCAGGATTTCTGTATCCTAGGAGATGCTGTGCCAGCAACAAGAATTTCCACCTGAACTTGAGCTTTATTTTTAATATCAATATTTTAAATAGGTCAACAATTCCTAATTTGTTTGTGAGAAATGGATGAAAGTAATGAAACTGCTCTCCAGAAAAAGGCATATCCCCCCTGAAACTATGTACTCAGTTCTGCTTCAGGCAGTTCTTAAGAGCCTGAAATTTGCCTGTGGATCAATTACTGCCCCCAATTCCAGGCCCTCCCCAAGGTGGTCTTTAAGTCCCAAGTTAAAAGATAGGTACCCTTTAGCCATCTCTGGGTCTGGTGGTAACTTTATTATTAATAATATAATTTCTATGAGAAAATATGTTCTGATTAAAAACTCCTAAAAATAGATTTGAAAAACCCAATGTGTTTGAATGTTCAATTCAGTAATCTCTACCTGTTAGTTTAGGGAGAATCACCTTTTCCACAATGGTAGGTAACAGTGCAACATCTACATCATCTTTTTCTTGCTCTCGCTCTTCACAACCGTAAAACAGCAAAGATTCAAACCACAGCATATTCTCAAAGTCACGACATTTTGCCTAGAAAATAGTTAAAAGGTTACCCAAACATTTAAAATAGTGGCTATTTCTGCTTCCAGTCATGAAAAGAGTAACAGGAACTGGATTTAGCCTTCAGTCATAAACTAAAAACTGGACAAATATATGAAACATCTATTTTCAGACAATGGACCACAGGCAGTATAGGACTATGACCCCTGAAAGAACGGAATCAAATGAGGTGAGCTCCTGGTCAGAAGAGGAGATCAGGGTAGGCAACTGCAAGCAGAGCAGTCCTGCTGAGTTAGTAGACAATCTAAGCTCAGGAAGGCTGGAACGCTAGAAGCTGTGGGGCAGAGGAAGGAGCTACACAGAAGGAGAGCTCCCAGATGCACACGAGTGTCCCCGAGTCTCTGCTGGACACTGAGAAACACATGCACAGGGTGGGACTCCACAAGGTCTGGCAAAGAGCAATCAGGAGCTGGGAGCTGAATGGTTCCCAGAGCTTAGATTTCTTTCCTCTTGTTTTCAGGGCTTCAACCTCAGTCTTCTTTTCGTTACAGTTCACATATTCAACCCAGCCCATCTCATTCATGCCCACGGCTCCATCCATATGTTGGTAACTTCCAAAACCGTATCATAAGCATGACCACTACATGTAAACAGACAATTTGAGTTTCCTCCCTTATGTAACAGGCAAAGAGGTCCTATTGATTCCACCTCTTAAATCTATCAGTTTATCTCATCCTCCTGATTTCCATCACCACTGACTTAGTTCAGGGTCCCATTTCACATCTTCCTCATTGAGCTTTCCCATGATGTTCTGTTTTTCTGGAATCAAAGAACCAAGTTCTTATTCATTCATGTTCATATCTCAGCGTCACTACATGTAATTTTAGTTGACTGAGAAAGACACTGTATAAAAATCGAAAAGCAAGAGGCAGTTCTCTTGAGAAGGGACAGAACATAAAAGGAAAGATCGTAAGATTATGCCCAGTGATAATGTGTCAATTATAGCCCTGTGGGTGACCTATCTCCCCTGAAAAACACTTTGCTGAGGCTTACATCTCTAGCTTTGAGGTTACAACTGCCCAAGGCATCATGGTGTATTGCTTTTTTTTTTCTTTTAGAAGAAAGTGTTGCTTTTGTTTTTTTAAAATTAATTAATTAAATTTATGGCTGCACTGGGTCTTGCTGTGTGCGGGCTTTCTCTAGTTGCAGCAAGTGCGGGCTACTCTTCATTGTGGTGCATGGGTTTCTCATTGTGGTGGCTTCTCTTGTAGCGAAGCATGAGCTCTAGGTGCGCGGGCTTCAGTAGTTGTGGCTTGCGAGCTCTAGAGCTCAGGCTCAGCAGTTGTGGCACATGGGCTTAGTAGCTCCCTGGCATGTGGGATCTTCCCGGACCAGGGCTCGAACCCATGTCCTCCGCATTGGCAGATGGATTCTTAACCACTGCGCCACCAGGGAAGTCCAGTATATTGCTTTTCAACAGTGATAGAAGCCACTCACCTCAAGAGGAGTCCAAGTGAGAAGCTGCAGCCTTATGAGGGGGTTGAACAACTTTGGCAAGCAAAGGCCGATGTAAGCATCCTTGTAGGATGTGTAGTATTTTGAACGCCATGCTTCAAACTGGGATTTAATACAATCGATTGAACAGAAACTTTCAAGGACATCTTCAAATACCTTGCTGGACTCTTTTGAAATGCGATCTAAAAACAACAACAACAAAACCCCACAGAGAATCAAAACTTAGTATGCAGTACAAAAAACACAGTTCAAATATTTTCAGTGTTTTCTTTGTAGCTTGAGTATCAATAAGATAGGCTCATTAGCAAAGGAATAATTGTTAACTGCAACTTAAAAGAAAAGAACCAGAGGTAAGTTTAGGTTCCAAACGTCTATCATGCAAACCACAGTGCAGGTAGTCTCCGTTCTGCATAGTTCCAATATGTACTATTATCTGTCACCACAGTCTAAATAACACCTGTCCCCAAAAACTCAGTTCAAATTTCAAGCACCATGGAAGAGTAACTGTAACTGCAGAAGCACAAACTCTGTTATCCAGCTCTTCAGCCCACAAATCACCACGTAAATAACAGATGTGTAGTATCATTATCAGTGACCAATCACATCTCATCTTCTGTTGGTGATTGCAATAACTGACATAGACAGGAATCAGCAATGGATGCTGGGATCTTTAAGTAAAAGGTTATTTAACGCTCCATATGACTTGGAACAGCAGACTCTTTATAACGAGGAGACCAAGTCGTGACAACCTGCTTCTCAAGACCCATCTTAACACCACTAATAGTGGGCAACCTAACACTTGCCGTCTGGTATCATGCTGGTAACAGCATCTTGTGTGACGTATTCTTGCCAAAAAAGCTTTAACCTGAATCTAATCAAGACTTAACTTCCAGTTTACAAGAAATATAGCGACTGGAAGAACAAGTTAAAACCATGAGGAAACAGACAAATTTAGAATGTAGGACGTTTTACAAGATAAGTGGCCTGGTCTCTTCAGGAAGTTAATGCCTTAAACAAATAAAGAAAGGGGTGTGTGTATGTGTATAAGGTATCATGATATTCACTAATTCTACATAAAAAGATGTAACAACCAAGTGCGATGCAGGAACCTTGTGTGGATCCAGGTTTAGAAGATACAGAGTAACAGAAACGGTCCCAGGAATTCTGGGCGGGGTGGCGGGGGGCTGTTACGGAGGAAAACTGAATGCAGACATGATACTAAAACTTCTAGGTAATTTTCGCAGGTGTGACAACAGTGTGGCAGTTAGGTAGAAAAGCATCCTTTTTTTTTTTTTTTTTTAAAGAAGACATTAAAGATGTTAAAGTTTTTAGAGGGAAGTGCCACGATGTCCGTAAGTTAATTTCAAATGTTTCAGCAAAACACACACAAATCCAAAGCAAACTTGGCTAAACGACGGTAAGAATTGCTGAATGTGGGTGACAGGTGTATATGGGTGATCACTGTGCTATTCCTTGCAGTTTTCCGTATGTTTGGAAATGTTCACTGTAAAAAGAGTGGGAGAAAAAAATAAGCTTATCCAACTAAGTTCCAAAGGGCTCGCAGCCACTACAATTCCAAATAATCGCAGCCAGTGGTGGGAAATAAAGACTCTTACTAGGGGATCCTGCTGGAAAGGTCTTCATGTAACAGAACTAACTATTCCTCTTGACTGAATTATTCGGGGCTCCCCAAATCAGGAATTCCCTTCAGGGCTGAATGCCCTACTGCCAACCTTTACCTTTCTAGACCAGACAGGCTGCATTAGGGCTGCCCCTGGGATCTGAAACATTTTCTTGTCACTTTTAAAATTCTGTGATTCAAAGAGTGATATCATTTATAATGCAAGTACTAGATGAACCCCACAACAAAGTGTTACCCCTAATTTTGAGAACTCCTCAATAAAAATGGGTGCGAGTTTTAATAATTAAACCAGAGTGCCTAGTTCTAAAGCAGAGGCCACAAAACTTCAAATTATTTCATGGTAGAAACCACAGCCAAGGAGAAAGCACATTGACAGTGAATCTCATTTCCAAATAAATGTCTAACCTTTTTCCAGATTGAAATTTGTAATATCTGTAGATGTTTCTTCGTCATCACTGGACAGGCCTTCAAGGTGATCTGCCATCTTACCGGTTTGCTCTCTGGCTTGTCTACGACGAGTCCTAAATAACAAATATCAAGTTCCCAAACCAGATAAAAGAGACTCCTCCCTTCACAAACAAACCAACAGCAAGCGTCTGTAGAATTACCTTCTGGCCTCCCGTTCTGCAATCCGACGTTTTGCGTGCTCTTGATACAGTGCCCGATCTCGTCCAAAGGAATCAAGATTTGGCGCCATCAGAGCTTTATCTGTAAAACAACGATGGTTAAAATTAAAAGCCTTCCTTCAGCAATCTTGAGGAAAGAGTTTGCACAGAATAAGCCATAATGATAGACTGCTTTCTAATCTCAACAGCAGGATTCTGCAGTAACCGATAAACTGGACAGTTTTCTAGTTTAGAGCAAATCTCAGTATTAATCTGTGTTCCCACGAAAAGGAAGAGAAAAATAAATGGAGAGTTCAACAACACTACACAAATGCAAATGGGCTTAATCCCTGTTCTTATGTCTAAGTAACAGAACTAGTTTATGCTATCATGATGACCAAATAAATTAAAAATCTAAATTACTTGTGTAAAGGGAAAAATAATACATTACTTTTTTAAGGACGAACTTAGGCATCACATGTTGAATGATATGACAGCAGAGACACAAGTAGGAAGGATGAAAAAACAGCTTTGTTGCAGGAGTTTAATCATTTATTCTATTTCATTCTAATTTTTCTTTGTAGAAATTTATTCTCTATTACTATTTTAAGAACAAGGGCAGAATCAACATATAGACTGAAAATCATATCTGATAGGACCAAGTTGTGCTTTCTCAAACCCTACTTTCAAAGCACAATTCCCTTATTTCTTTTTTCCCCTATTTCCCATCTCTCTTTTTTTTAATTTCTAGGGCAATTTTCTAGCTTTAGCTTTCAACCTTCCTATTTAAATTTATATTTCACTTACCACGTGTTTAGTTTCTGAGATACAGCTATTCTTCTTAGAACATTCCTTTTCTATAGCATCCTCTACTTGTGCTACGCGTAGGATCCCTTCCAACATCTCCCTGAGGACAGCAATTATGTTTTAAATTTTCTCCCGTCACCTGCATTGTCTTTGTTTCCTCAGTCCCTTTGGTTCTAACTGCTTGTGTTGATCACCATGATCATTAACTACCTCCTACGTAAGAATGAGACTGGAAGTTTCGTGGATGTAGGTGGGAGCTGTCTAGCAGGGGCATCTCCATCAGATCCCGGGTACAAGTCAACTTTCTGTTGGGGCCCCCAGATGTTATAGTCTTTTCTCTGGACCCACTCTCTTTCTCCAGAGAAGAATCTTCGAATCTCTTGCCTAGGGTAGAAGGAAGAGTGGGGCAAACATCTGTCTGTGACGCTTCCTCATGTCTACATTTAAGTTCTACGCTACGGAGATATTCTGTATTACGTGGGATAGTAACGAGAAGCACAAAACCCAAAGGGTGGTGGCGGGGGAGGGGGAGACCACGTGCAAAATGAAAGACGTCAATTTAAGGCTTTTCCATAGTTTTTTTCCTGATATCAAAGATGTGTCACTGATAGCAACGACGGGAAAAATAAAACCAAAAATGAGCTGGTATCCACTTCGGTGTATCCTAACTATCCTAGATCCTACTACTTTTAAAAGTTGACTCTTTTACTGAATTTTTCATTCATATTCCAAAATAGCTTGGATATTTGGAAGTATGTTCCAGAGTTCAAATTACAAAAAAAGATCAGTAAACAAAATGCCCCAACTCTACCTCAACTGGAACTCCACTACACACCATAGATGAATTGGCTAAAAAGTCCCAAACTACAGAAATGATTCCTGCCTCTTTAAGAGCTACCCTTCATTAAAGAAATATTTTAAAGAAAATTCTCTACTATAATAAATACTTAAAATGTTATTATATTTACAGATTTTGTAAAATATATATTGAGGGAGATATAAGAGAGTAGATGACTCGAGAGATAGCCTCCCTCACTTCGGTCAGAATTATATGCAGTAACTGTGATAAGTGTTTACAAATCTAAACAAATGAATTTCTGGCTGTATTTTTGTTTCTTTAAAAAAAGATCAGAAAAAGAATCGATACTTCAGTACCCCATGCAATTTTTCTCAAATGTTTGGCAATTAATGAATACTCCCTCTAGGAAAATATTTTTCACTTTCTCATTACCTTTCACTTCTTTGCAGCTATCAATCTAATTAACATCCATCATTCAACCCTTACTTCAAATTCCATATAAGTAAATACCTCCAAATTGTAAAGAACAGATTATAGGCAGGAAAAAGCATTTGATGAAATGCATGGCTCACCCAACCGTTTAACTTAAAAGGAGATTACTTCCCGTCATAGGTACAATGATTACCTGTAATTTGCCCCAGAAATCTGGTTCTGTCTGGATCAAAAGTGATTTGGGCGGGATGCATTAGTTATTTAGGTGCCCCAAATGGCACTAATCCAATTTAAACGTGTACGGCAAAAACAGAAGGTCAAAGCCATTCATGTGGCTTACATCTGAGTCTGACTCATCTGACGGCCATGTTACCACCTCTTTACGATGCTCCAAAACCCATCCAGCACACAGGAGAATGCTTTCTCAGGGATTCAATGTCTCTCTAATTTAGAGGACACACTATATGACAAAGCATTGTTTTCAGAAAGAATAACAGGGCCCTCTGCACTTGGAACACCTGGGGTGGTTGTTTAATATGCAGATTACTGGACACCATCCAAGACCTGGCAAGAATCTCTGGGGACAGGACCAAGAAATCCGCATTTTAAATTAATATCATGGGTAATTCTGATGTACACTTTCACTTAAGAACTGCTGACATAGGGACCGAAGAGATGACAAAAGAAGCCATGAGAAATCCAACGTAGGAAAATTCCTATTACAGCACCCAAGAATATAAGAGGGCAATGAAAAAGCAGAATTAAAATGTTTAAAACGTCTGGTTAAAGAATTTCAGCTCAACTATTTAATAAGAGGTTTCCAATTAATTTTGGTTTTCCATAACACATATCATAATGAAAGGAATATAAATTAAATCTCCAGATTTTTACACTAAAATTTCAAAAAGTGTAGGCACCGACTGACTTACTAAAAAAAAACCCCACTATATGAGGCAAACTAGAAAATACAAAAAAATTTTAAATACAAAACATTTTGCTTTATCTAAGGGGTGAAGCTCAAAACTCCCCTCATCTTGGAGTTGTACCATTTGTTATGTAATAAAGCCCCCTCTCCCATACAGAATTTCCCAGCCCCTAACTCAAAACCTTTGTTGTGATCAACAACAGCGTTTGTATTGGTGTTAAAATGGGGGGAAAATCAGTTAGGGCCAAATAGGTACTGGTTTTAAGATAAAATACTGATGATGTCTTTACTATAAAGAATGAAAGAATGCCCAAAGAAGAATAAGATCGATAGAATATTAGTACATGATTTGAGTTCCTTCGCAAAGCTATATTTTCTTAAACACAATCCAAGCACATGCTAATTTGAGATCTACCTGACACAAGAGCAAGGAAATTTGTTTCTTTAAAAAGAAAAAATGCTCTGAGACGTCTAATTTTCAATTAGGATGCACTAAGTAAACAAGGTTGTTTAATGAATAATAAAAACCTTCAAGATGGACTGACTTGAATGGCTTGAAAACTCCGAAGATTCATCTTTAATATCATCTTGTCGTCTTTGGACAAGGCGGGAAGCTCGCTGTTTGTACAGCTGATGTATTGCTGATTCAAGTTCATTAATCAGTGGCACCTGTAAAAATACAACACACTCCGTAACACCAAACTCCTCAGCTGCTTATATATTTCAGGGTTCCATATTATTTCCGGATTTCTGAAAAAGTACCCTCTGGACAGAATAATCATGAACTCTCAATGAAACACAAATAGTAATTCAGTTTTATGATTTCTGGGAAACACCACTTCTTCTTTTATTCCGTATATGGAGCTATAATGTCCAGTGCCTAGTTATTGGAGCAAAAGTTTGGTTAGGTTAAACACTTTAACATTAGTAAAGAGAGCGAGTAAAGAATTGTCAGAAATTTTAGTGCTTCTTTTAGAATAAAGTACTTGGAAGTCCTTTTTAAAAGTCCATTTTTAACTTTCTAGCAGCATGATCTCCCTTGCCAATTTCTGTAGTTTAAAATAAACCATTATTGCCGTGTAATACCAAAAGATGCAATGGCACCTTTATGGCTTTATTACACATTTAAAACGTGAACTGCATTCATTCACATTAATTAATATGGTGAATAAAATTTCTAGCTACCACTAACCTGTCTAAAATCAATCTATCTAAAACTCAGAAAGTTCTTCTCTTCCTATCAAATGTTTAAATTTCTCCATATTTGTAAGTAAAATAACAAAATTCTTTGCATAAATTGTCAGTTTACAAAGTCAACAAATTTTTCCAGGTTAATAGCCACAGCTAAGCATTCACTTGGTTCATATGGAATACAAAAAGCTTACGGAATGAGACCTAACTTAAAAGGAAAAACCAGAAAATGTTCTCTTTATAAATACCTATGCTATAACCAAATGCTATGAAACTCTCACAAACGCTAACAACCACTACACATACCTGAGGAAACCAGAAATTCTAGTTTCCTGATGGTTAGTGCAAATGAAAAAACACATTAGAGTTTGGGAACACTGGCACCAAGTGTTATAGCAGCGTCCTGAACTGAACAGACTGTAAATGGAAAATAAAAAAAGGCAGGTGGAATACAAAGATGTCTGTAATAAAAGCAATTTTATACACTTGCATGATCCCATTGCAAAAGCAGCCAATGTTCACAGAAAGGTCAAACTGATGGAGTTATTTTATTCTTTAATATGCCACACCATGGGCAACAATGTCCCCAAATCTGCACTGATTTATCTTGGTGATATGAGCTGAGCCCACAGACTCTAAAATTAACTAGAATCGATTTTTGAAGCAATTACTGTCATATTATTGTGACTTACACTTACCTACCCCCTCATTTTTTCAAACTGTGCAGGACTAAAGACAAATGTACCTATGCATTCCTTTAGTCCTGGAGATTATTAACACTCCTCTACTATAAGAGCTGCACGCCTGAGGTTGCATCAGACAGAACCTTAATTACTCAATTTATAGTTAAAATTCCGATAACGTGATTTTCCTGTTTAGGTAATTAAAATGCCTTTTAACAAAGCCCAGAGAAAATTCTACTGAGAATAAAAGCCCTAAAACACATTTTCGGCTCTCATTCATGTTTCTTAACAATACTAATTTATCTCAAGAGTGCACCATGACAATTTCTTTACCCTCTCCAAACTGGAAATTGTTATTGACTATCATTATTTCAAGGCCAAATTTAAGACAAAGAACACAGAAGGAAGATGACTGCAGAAAAACAAAACAATGTAAAGTTAAAATAATCTGCAAAATAATTAAAAATCTAAGTTCAAAACCACTTGAACTTTTATAACAAAAGAGAAAAAAACAAAAGAGTGTTTCTATTTTGATGGTCTTACCCTGAAACAGTATTTTTATAGTATAACTGGAATGAATATTCAAATCTATCCAATTATTCCTCAGTATTTCCAAAATGACAACTTATGACATTATTAACTCAGCAGCAGACTCAATAAAATCAAATGCATATGAAACTGTCAAAATGAAATACTCATCTTTAAAAGGGAATTATCTACTTCTCTTTTAATTAAACTGTAGTCACTATATAATAGATACGTTTAAGATCTGCTCCATAAACATTTATCTAAGTGACTCTGTAAAAACCTATCAGCACAGTCTGAGGGATACTTCCCTAGGAACAGGGTAATCAAGGAGAGATAAAGTACACTAAGTGTTTTTAAAATAGTAAGCAATTGAAAACTATATGAACTAGATATTCTACTAGTCTCTTTAACTCTCAAGAACGGTACAATCTAGTTGATCATATTACTGTCGATATTTTTTAAGAGTTCAGTTTGCAATTACAAGCGTGTAAGTTTACTCAAGTAAGTTCCAAAGCAAAGACCCAGATACTTCAAGAAAAAGCTCCACGGGGACAAATCTCACTTACAAAGTATGGTTTAAGACAGAGATCCTTTCTCTAGTCACAAAAGGTTATTAGACCTGCTCTCGGCACCATGTCCCCTGGGCTCATACGGGCTTTATTAGTAGGAAGGACACAACTGCCAGGTCCGACATTTATGTCCACTTCTCTTGACTCCAGCCCCTCTGCAGTCAAACCTATGTTTCTTTCTCACCCCTGTATTTGTCACCCTAAGCCACAGATCTGCCACAAGGGATATCATAGCTTAGAATGTAGCTGCTTCTCCAGAAATCAGGTGATAAGGACAAGAACATGAATCCTTCAGAGAAGACTTGGTGGATCTGACAGACTGGCTGGAACCATTAAGATCCATTTGGAAGACACAGTTTGGCACTGTTCTTTAGCCAGCCTTTGGCCTTAAGATACTGAAGTAATCAACGGAGATAATAAAAAGTTAAAATACTGTATGCTTACCGATTCTATGCTAATTCATATGGCCAAGAATAACAGAAAATGTGCCTTCTAATCCTGTATCACTTGCAAGTTTATAGAGACAGGATATTCAAAAGCACCATGATTTTACTTTTTTTTTAAAGAAAAGGCTGTGAAGTCCACAGATGCCTATAAACCAATGCATCAAACAATAACATTTATCTTAAAGAAAAATCAATTAAAAGGCTGTTTGAGAAAAGGATTCCCGGGCAGCTAACAAAAAATGCAAACAAATGGTACAATAGGATGCAAAGAATTGTGCCAACTGACTGTCATACTAAAAAAAATGAACTTGGAAGAAATGAGACCTTAACAGAAATTATGGCCAATGAATGGTTTCTGAAATGGATAAAGCACAGGCTTATTTAGATGAAAGCTATTAGCAGCAATGGCAATCAACTTTATCTAGGGTAAAAAAAAGCTAATAAAATATTGCAACTTTATGCATATTTGGAATTACTCGTAGAAACAGTTTAAAGGCAAGTTTAGATTTGAACCATAAAAAAGAAAATTTCATGAGTCCCTTATATTTTAATAAATCAGGACAGGCCAATAATCTACCATTAAATTAAGGCAGGATTTGCCAAAGTCTTATTTAAATATGCTTTGAATTATCTTTTTTTGTTTTCTACAAGGCACTAGATTACCCCAAGATAGAAGGTTGTTAATGAAGTGGAGAAAATGAAGCATGACTTTTCATCACTTCTAAAGTTGAATTCAGTGGATATTTTCTGAGAAATATAGAAATCTAGACCTCCTTAATTTTGCCTTATTCAAAGAGATTAATATTTTTGCATTCTTACCTTTTCACTGAAACACTCAAGCAAGTCTTGGACATACCCTCGCATTTCTTGCAAAAATTTATACCGTTCACCAATACCCCCAGAAGACCCTTCTAATCTTTCAATAGCCCTGGTGGAGTCCACTCGGCTTTGCAGATGTTTCTCATGCTGCTGTCGATTTGTTTTGTGCAGTTCTTTCATGGAGTCCAACCTTAAGAACAGAAAAGGATAAATATAACACATTTACATCTGAAAGTCTATGCTGTCAGGACTCTTGCAATATTTATAATAATGCATTTAGTTCCACTATTAGAATATAAAAATGCTTGGAGTGGATCTTTTCATCTGTACTGCTCTTTTCCTCAAAAAAACGGCAGTTTACAGACTTCATATAAAGTTATTTGGTGGGCTAACCAAAATCTCACTGTTTTGTTTTTCCCCCCATATCTTGACTACACTTTTTCAGAGTCCAAGAGGTGCAAATTCAGAACTGTCTTCAACAAGATCACGGAGTGGTATTTTTAAAAACTTTTCGAGGCTTCCACAGAAGTAATCCAAGAAGGTAGCAGAACAAAGTATGAAGTCATCTTCTGTTTAGCTTTTGAAGACAGGCCAGTGAATCTTCTTTGCCGATATTCTGCATCTGCTACCCCAGACTACATGTTGCCTGAGGGAACGGAAAGCTAGAGGACAGGTCTTTAAGAAGTTGATCTGCCCTACCTGTCTTTAAGCTGTTTCTTTACCAAATCAATAGTAACGGGAGTCATCTCATTACTGGGAGTTTTGAAAGGGACTGTATTATCTGTTTTTTGAGATTTGGCATCGGATGATCCGTAGGCTGTGTAACTATAAGGAATGCCATAGGATGAACCGTAAGGCATTGTCTGGTAAGTGTTCTGGTAGTACATGTTCACTTCAGTGGGCTGACTTGCTTGAACCTAGAAAAGAAATGGGATGTATATTAAAACTAGTTGCTGAAACTATGAAAAGAAAAATCCCATGCCTTTAGTGTTAAACAAACAAACCACTAACAATAAAAACTATACCCATTTTCCAAATAGCATGTAACTAAAATAAGTAATTGCAGAGCTCCTCAAAATCAGATAAAAGTAGGGCTGGATTCATTTCTAATTCCTATGCGATTACTGGATTCATTTCTAGTAACTTTCGGGAAAACAATAACAAAGAAGTTTAGAGTTAGGGACATTAAATTGTGTCAAAACACGAGCAACAAAAAAAATTTTATGTGGTATTTCCACTGTACTACTTACTTCTATAAAATAAATTGTTACAACTATCGAGGAAGATATTTTTCATCTACAATAAGATTTTTGCATTCCTGAGAAATCCATCTTCTACAAAATAATTTTTAAAGTCAGAAAAAAATGAGCTCTATAGGAAAGAAACACCTTTTCTATACAGTGGTTTCCAAACTTTAGGAGCAACAGAATCACCCAGAGGACTTGTTAAACAAGATGGCAGGGCCCCACCCCCAGGGTTTCTCATTCACTAGGTCTCACTCGGGAGGGTGAGAATTTGCATTTCTAACAAGCTTCCATATGATGCTGATGCTGCCGGCTGAAGGACCAGTTAGAGAAACAGTTACCTAAGAAACCAGAAATTCTTCCATCATTTGGATGGTAAAAGGCAAAATATAATATAGTTTCTTCTAACAGCTTACTGGATACATAACTTTATATAATTTTCCTCATTATGTTACTTGAATGAATGACAAAGGATCAATTCAATGTGCAATATGTTTTTACTTGAACAAAATAAGCTAAAATTTTTTTAAATTTCTTTTTTTTTAATTTTTGAAGCTTAATTCTTTGGTTCTTACCTGAGGGATATTAATTCCTTTTCTTATCTGCTCCTGTTCCCATCGGCTGAGCTCTTCATCTTGTTCTCCAGTTACTAAAGCATCATCATCACTCCCCTCAATACCTATAGCCATAAGCAGCAAAGTAAATAATTCCAAAAAACAGCGAGGGAAGAGATGCTACCATGATATTTCACAAAAATCAAGCAAAACTATTGGCATTAACTCAATCTTACTAAAGTTAAAATGTCTATTATGATCTCTCCCACATTTGATACTTCTGCTTTTGCTTGTTTTAACACACAGCATACCTTAAGCAAAAGGCAGTATCAATGTAACAATTAAAACCTCAGATGGGTTTCCTAACCTCTGGAAACCTAATGCCTCCTAAGAATGAAGAGCCAATTACATATATTTATGTATGTTACGTGCTTAGCACAATACTGGTCACACAGTGCTCAACAAACACTAGCTACCAAAATCATGCTACACTTTTCAAAAACTTCCAATAAGACACTTACACCCAAGCAAGAACAGTTCTCTAACATTAAACATAGTTAAATAAGTATAGGTACTTTTTATCTGATTGTAGTATCAAATTATATTTAATAGCAATGAAACAGGCTTACTGTCCCATTAAATCAAGTTACCTATTTCCTCCGCAATTTTCTGCCTTTGTGATTTTTCTTTCACAGAAAAAACTATACGGCGTTTCTCATCATCGTCTTCATCGTCACTGGCATCATTCTCATCTTCTCTAACAAGGCGGCCTTTACCAGGCTCACTATCGTGAGGAGTGAAATCTCCCAATTCCCGGGCCATCTGACGCTTTTTCCTTGCAGCGTGTATAAAAGCTGCATCTGGAATTTCTCCTGGAAACAAATGGTGAGGATTATAAACTATGCAATATTAGGGAATAAAGTTTCTATTTTCTTGAAAATATGAAAGATAAGTGAATCTCGTCAAGACAACCTTGTCACAGTGATGTTCTAATGTTATCTGCTGGCATCCCCGGCCCCCTTCCCAAACTGTGCCTGCAAAACAACTGATTTATTTTTTGTTTAGTGTAAATGAAAGTAAAAGTCGCTAGGGAAACTAAGAAATATGTATAATGGCAATATGTACAGGAAGGGGGGGAAGGGAAAATCCACCAAAGCAGTTTTATTTTAATGGTATATTTTTTCATTTTTAAGAAGTAAACGAAAGCAATAAAATCACATTTATTACTAAACCAGAAAACAAATAAAAACAAAAAAGGTATCTACAATCTTACACCCTAAAAAACGCTATTAGATTTATAGTATATTTCTCTTGCAAATAGTTTTCAGTTGACCTGTAAGCACACTGAATATATAATTCTGTATCTAATTTTTTCTTCATATTAAAACATAAGCTTTTTCCCATGTTGTTTTGCATAAACATAATTTTTAGTGGTTTACAACATTCACTCAATAAAGCATAATCTACTACATAATCAAATTAATTGACATTTTCACCTACAGTAAAAATTAATGCCTTGCTACTCTTCAAATTGTTATTTAAACAACTATATAATATCCCATCATGTAAATGCACCTTAACTTACTAAGCCATTCCTCTCCTGCTAGACATTTTCTAAATGTTGCTCATTGCAAATAACGTTGCAATAAAAACATTATTTCCTTGGATAAATTTCTCGCTATGGAATTACAGGGTCAAAGACTAAGAACATTTGAAATCTACTGATTCATACTGTCCAACTGCTTCCCATATAGACTGTACCAATTAGAATGCTACTAGAACTATATACATAACTTTTCACAACTTTACAAACCCAGAGTAAGAATTTTATTTTTTTTTAATTTATTATTATTTTTTGGCCTCCCTGCGCAGCCTGTGGGATATTAGTTCCCCGACCAGGGATTGAACCCCGGCCCACAGCAGTGAAAGCGCTAGGGAATTCCCACAGAATAAGTATTTTTAGATTTTATAATGAATTAAATGGTTACTCTTCATAATTTAAATTTGGCTACTAAGCAATTTATTTATTCAAAAGCTGATTAGCCAGTGAATATATCTACAAATTATTTCCATAAAAAAGTTAAAGAAAAAAAAAGTGTGAACATAAAACTAGCAGCAATTTTGCCTTTGGTAGCAGTTCTTAAAAATGTTAAAATCTTAATCTGAAATACATAAAAAAAGGACTTTAGTACCATTTACTTGAAGCCCTACATTTGCTTTGATAATAAAACTGCCTGTCTGAGAATGAACTTGGAAAGTTGGGAAGTTTCTCGTTTTCTTACTTTCTGTATTTGCAAAATGAAACAACCTGGCTTCAAAGAGGGATGTCATAAGAAACACCACTTTGCTAACTCCTTCCTAACGACCATCTTTACAGACAGCTCATTCTTGAGGGCTTACTTCAGTTCTAAGGAGAATTTGCAAGTACACACCTGGACGGAGAACATTCAAAGAAGATAAAGCATTTGAAAAGGCTCCGGCAGCCTTTGGCTTTTCTTCCTCCTTCTCGCTTTCCATATCCATTTCATCTTCCCCGTGTTCACTGATGATAACTCCATCTTCTTGACTGGTGTCCTTAACATGACCTGTTTTGTCCAAAGGAGGTTCGCCTACATTTTTGAAAAAAGTAATAAAATATATCTAAAACAAGATCCATAAATTAAGGAGTCACTTCTAATGCAATTATGGGCTCAATTCATTAAAGCTTGAACTATTTTAATTGTTTATAAAAAACTAAAACCACTGATGTGTGAAAATGAATAATCACAATAAACACAATTGGGAGGTAACAACAATACAGGGGACGCAGGGATGCATGAGGTCTGCCCAATCGCTACCTTTAATTTTTTTTTTTTGCGGTACGCGGGTCTCTCACTGTTGTGGCCTCTCCCGTTGTGGAGCACAGGCTCCAGACGCGCAGGCTCAGCGGCCATGGCTGACGGGGCCCAGCCGCTCCGCGGCACGTGGGATCCTCCCGGACCGGGGCACGAACCCGGGTCCCCTGCATCGGCAGGCAGACTCTCAACCACTGCGCCACCAGGGAAGCTCGCTACCTTTAATTTTATCAAAATTTTACTAGTTTATCAACTAACTGTTTCTCCCTCTAAACTCTCATAGGTAACTGTTCAAACCTCTTGGAAGCATTATTTCACTTTACATGTCAGTATTTCGTTAAACTCTAAGCCCACTTGAGGCAGCTTTCTATCAAGAACAAAGATTACAGACCAGAAAAACCTCTCTGTAATGAACACTTTACGGGGTATCATCTTAGTTCACAGCCATTTGTCACCCATCATCTGAAGGGTCGAGACCCAAAAGTCACATTTACACTGTGTAAGCCCCTGACCCCATTGCCATGAATGAACGTTTAAGAGTGGATGTGTGACTAAACTTGATTTTTCTGGCAATCTGGAATTGGGACACAGAGACAAGTCAGAGACTAGGTGGCACTAAAAACCACATGCAAACTAGGAAGGGAGTTGTGGAGTAGCCGTACTTGGCCACGTGGACAGAGGAGAGAGCTCTCTAGTTCTCAGGCCATTCCCGAGGCCAGTTTCAAGACTGTTACAGTGGTTTACTTCACACCAAACGGTTTACTTTACTTATAACTAAATAGTCCTATTACACCCTTCCCAGGCGAAGCTCAGAAAATCAGTGTTTTTCACCTTGAAGTACTGAACCTGGCAATGCACACAAGAGGCACCATGAATATAATGGAAGAGTAAAACAAAAGTTCATTCTAAATATGAAAGATAAACTTCTGTTGTTTCCCTAGCATGCTCCCCTCCCTCCCCAAAACTGCTTCAAAAGTTCTTAGTTCTTCTCAAACCATATTCTACTTCCCTAAAGAAGAGTGCTGGGGATAATGACTCCCCCCACCCCCCAGCTTTACTGAGAAGATTTAGGTCATTCTGCTTTAAGGCTCTTTAGTTTTTTAAATTTACCATCCTACCTCGTTAGCCACAGACTCCCTCTGAAGTGACTTCTAAGGCTATGAGATTTTAAAACTCAGTTTAATCAGATGTATAAAGATAGATATAGTCAAGAACTACCCATTTCCTTCTGCTCTCAATCTACACTACATCAATGGCTTTTATAGACAAAACAGAACTACAAGAAGGTTTACTAGATCAGATATGCCCAGATAAAGATTTCTGCAGACTTCAAAAGATTCAGTGTTTCAATAAGTTGATAAGTATTTGCTTGTGACTGAGCAAATACAAGTCCAAAACATGGCTGACAGGTGAATTTTTGTGACTTGGTCATATATTATCCTTTCAGACAGCTTTATAAAAAGAGATGCTAACTAACCTTTTCTAGGCTCCTCTTGTGCCTCAATTTCTTTGACTGCTACTTTAAGAAACTTGCTGTCACAAATATTCTCTCTACTTTGAATGATTTCTTTTTTTAGGTTTGCAGCTGTTTTATTTATAAGTATACATTTAACACAAGGAAATAAACACTGATACATGGAAGTCTAGTTAATAGTAGTGTAACTATGTATCATTTGGATGATTACATGATTTTAAACAACAAACTACACTGAAAAATTAATGCGATAAAATTCTTGGTCATAATATTATTAAGAATATATAAACTGAAATTATGATTGCTCCAAATTTGAAAATGGAAGTGAACTCATTTGGACAGAGTCAGAGTTCAACATAATCTGAAAGGAGGTGGGGGTCAGGCTCTCCCTCTCCTTTCTTCTGTCTACAAAGACACACAGGCTTCTCTTTAGCAAAAGAACTTCTACTTGATCCCAATTGTTTCTCTACCGTCCTTTCCTTCTCCCTCTGCCAAACTTCCCAAAGCAGCAGTGCAGACCTGCTACCCACCCCTTCCTCACCAATTTCCATGCCTCAGCCCTGGCAAACAGCCTTTGATTTCTCCCATTCCAAGCTCACCAACTAACCCAAAGGCTGCAGCCACAGCTAATTCATACAGTATCACTGAGCAATTTAGTAAAAGATGTTCCTTCCTCCAAACAGGCACAGAGCTTGGCGAGTAAACTAGCCTCTTTTGCCAGATGCCCTCCTCCGGAAAAGAACACAGCAACCCTGCCAATAGCCCTTCCTCAGCCCTTACTTTTCCTGACCTTTCTGATACTATTTCACACAACTGACAGTCATCATCTTGAAACTTTCCTATCTTTTCTCCTTTGGACTTTATGATTCTTTTTATCTCTTCAGTAAACCCTCTTCTCTATGTGTATGCTTATTACAGGTAGAAGTCTTTGGTCCTCAGGAATTTTTCCTTTATGCTACTCCCTCATCAACTCCATTTACTCTGGTTTTAATGATCACCTCAATGAGCACCATATCTATATCTACATCTCCAAATCTTCACTGGCCATTTCCACTCAAATTCAAGTTTAAAGGTAAACTCATCATTTTAGGAATATCACAAAAGTAGACTGATACTACCCTTGTTTTCAAGTTAATGCACCTCTGCCTGTCTAAGGAGGGCTGGGGTAGGAAAAGCCCGGGATTGTGATTTGATGAATGAGAAGAGCTACAGAGCGCCATCACTTCAGAGATGACGACCTATATAACACAGAGGCTCCACCTTTGGGGAGGACATTAATTGAGTTATTGGGTGAGTAGGAAATCCGTTATATGAAAGTAGAAGATAGAAGAGGTCACAGAAGGTGGCTTCAAAAACCTTGTACTTGCTTCAATTTCTTAACCCAACAGTAAATGGTCCTTTCTCAGTTCTCACTTTTCCTGACCTTCCTTGTTCGATTTCATCGTACACAGTTGGTTCTCAAGAGATCTGGAAAATATGAAGCAGCTTCCTAGAGTCAAAAATAATCAGTTCCCCTAAAAACCCTCCTCCCTCCTCCTCCCACCTGCATTCCCTATTTCTGTATATCATACATAATTATTATCTCAGTCACCTGGCACAAAAGCTCAAATCTGACTATTTCTTTTAAATCCAATAGCTGACTCATACTTTAGGTCTACCAATTCTTCCCTTGCAATACTTCTCAAATCATCTTTTACTATTTCTCTTCCCACACCCACAGCAAACATTTTTAACTCATCCACAATTTCCCACTGAGTCAGGAAAAGCCTCCGTCTTGCTCAGCTGAGACCTTTTTAAACCCACTACTAATGGATTAAAGCTGGCCCTTGCATTTCAACTGCTTTAAGCCTCCAATCTCTCCCTGTGCCAATCCATGCTGCATGCTAACACCAGGTTAAGATTTCAAAAGGCATTCATCATGTCGGCATCTTGCAGGCCGCTGAAACAGCAACCCTAAATCCCTTACTAGATAGTAAACATCCTTCACATTCTGTCAGCAACGTACCTTTCACCCTAAACCTCCGCTTCCTCCACAAATCGTCTACTTTGGCCTGTCAGGCATACTTGCTCTTTTCCAAAACAGCCTAGGTCACATTAATCTTTAATATCCCCATACCTCCCCTAGCCTTTGGTATTTAAATTATCAAAAAGCCGGCTTCAAATTCCACTTTATCTAGGAAGCATTCCTTCACCCACCTCTAAAAAAAAATGTAGTTAAACTTCACCGGACACTTTGCCAAATACTGAGTCCAGTTACACATTTAAGTGATGCTGTCTCCAAAATAAGATCGCAAATTTGAGATATAAGGACATACTTTTCCACATTAAGCATATAGCGGAGAACTGGGAAATAATAATTCTACCTTTAATTCCATAAAATAAAAATATTTCCCTAAAGCACTTGCAGTGAGAATAATTCATATTAGCATATGATAATGGAACCACTTTCCTAAGGACAAATAACTGCTTAAAAATTTTAACTTAGATTGTGAGAGGACATGAGAGATGTCTGTACAACGCAGGCAGGGGCCACACACTGAGGAGTCTTCATCTGTGTAGCTGATGAGGCTGTTGAATGGGAGTATTGTCAACATTAGACTTAGGGCATTCCTAAAAGTTCTCTAAGAATTAAACCAACTGTGTAAATAACACCAAAGGAATCGAAAGCTTGTCTCTACAAAATACAAGTACGGGAATTTGCACAGTACTCCTTCAAATAGGAATAAACCTGTATCTCAGGTTTAAGTGCGAAACCTCCCTTCTCTGTTCAACAGCAATTGGAACACTAGTAGGAAAATTGGGAGACAATTTAGTCATTGCAGCAGAAACATTCCTGTGGCAACAGTTCTGTCTTTTTAAAAAATGCATTTACAATGCAATTGTCTTATAATTAAACAAAAGAACTGTATCGTTACTCAATTTGTACCCCTGACAACGACAAAGTCAACTGAACAAGTTCACTATATATACCAAATCCATTCAAACCCTGTGAGAAACAGTTTCATTTTGTCATTTCAAAAGAATCATATTCGTTTGGTACTTACTGTCAGCTGATGAGTTGATTTCTGTCTTAATCTTCGATTTTTCAAGATCTTCTTTATATTCTTTCTTAAGCAATTTTACTATCTTTTTGCTATAACTTGATTTCTTCACTTTGAAAACCTCTTCACTTTCTTAAAAAAAGAAATTAAACGAAGTCTGTAGTAACCATTTTCAGACAGTGTTTTCCATTCTAACTTGCAAATTCTTCCAAATACATACTCATACACGCCAAATCATTACATAACTTGAAATTATTTCAAATCTGTAATAGGTTCTCAAAAACTGAGTCAACTTCATAGGTTAGTCTGGAATAATGCCAATTTGAGACTTTTTAAAAGGCAAAACACATGTAACTGCAAAAAACTGTCCTGTGTCCTACTGTCTTCCTTGAATCATCTATTGCAGGAGGAAGAAAAAGTCATCGAAAAAGCACCTGATTATCATATTATTAAGGTATCCGAAACAAAACATCCAAAATCAAAAGGTGCTAGTTTACAGAGCTGTCAACTCCGAGTAACTCTATATTCATCACAAACTGACATACTGTTATTTCAAGACTAAGCTGAGAGCTAATCACTTTTCAAAAATAAGTTTTCATGACGTATCCATCATCCTTGATTTGAAAATTTTAAAAGTCAAACGCACACACTTTGCCAAATTGTCCCTGTATCATTAAAAACAAAAATGTGGCTGTATTCCTCTCAAACTTAAGATAAAAAACAACAGGAAAGCCAAAGAGAAACTGCCTATTACTGGAAACAAGAAAGCATCCCGCACCGAGATGCTTCATAACATGGACTTAATTGGGTTATATAAACACACACTCAACAATTCGGGAGGTAAAACGGTTTAAGATTTAAGGCTCATTTACGATCAGAAATCTAAATCCACTGCAGCCTGGCCCCTCACACCAGACTGGATAAACTGCCCTGAAATACCATTACACTGCCTCTCTTCATTGTCCAAATGTCAATGCGAGGAAGGCCGCACATCTGTACCCCTGTTTACTTTTATGGGTAAACTGAGGCTCCGCGATCGCAAGGGACTGGCCCCAGGTGACTCAGAACCAGAGCTTCAACTCCGGGCGTCTGTTCCCAGACCGAGTACTCCTTACACACCCGGCCTTCCAGATCAAGGATGTCTAACCAGGACGAGAACGGCAAAAGGGGTGGGCACAGTGACCTACAGAGGGCTCAGAGAACGTGCCAAGAGCAGTCTGGGGACCTGACTCGAGTTCTCCCTAAAACACACCCGCCAGTTAAAAGAAGCAGGACAGGGAACACTGAATTTCCACTTGAAAAACTCAGAATGACTGATCTGAGATCCAGGAATAGGAAATGCACGGGAGGACGATGAGAAGGAGGCGGTAGTTAAGAAAAGGCTGGTGGCGGCGCGGGAACACGTCCCCAGCCAGAGCAGAAGGCCGGAGGCGGGGACAGTGTGCAGCGGGTCGGGCGGGAAGGGGCTCCGTTGCCGGGGGCTGAGGCTGGGAGCCCAGGGAATGCGGGGACTCGAGGTGGATGCGCGGGGTAGGGATGTCGGGATCTGGGAGGTCGAAGCGCGAAGGTTACCTTCGTCCTCATCCTGGAAGCTGAGCAGGCTGGCCCGGGGCACCTCTTTGTTCTCTCGTGGTCTCTTGCGCGGCTTCAGCCCGTTGCCGGGCTCCGCGCCTCCCGGGAAGCAGCCCCCGGCTTCAATCCCGGGGCCCGAGGTCAGCGCGGAAGGCGGAGGCAGCCCCGGGCCCAGCAGCGGCTCCCCCCCGGGGGCCCTGTCGCCGCCGCCGGGGCCCGGCTCTTCGCCGGTGCCCGGCGGCGGCAGCAACGGCGGCGGCTCCTGCTCCTCATCGCGTTCTCGCTCCTCCTCCTCCGAGTCATTCCGCTTACGCACGTTCACTCGCCGGGCCTTTCGGAACATTCCCGCGGCCCGCACGTCTGTCTCCCACCGGCACTCACACCGCGGCCCCGGCAGCGCAGAACTCGCGAAGGCGCACGCGCGCTCCCCCCAAGCTTCAGCCGAGTCGCGTCTTCCCTCCAGCTACAGTGCACCCCTGAGCGCGCTTGCGCTCCCGCTCTCAGTACTTGGGGAGAACTCCGCGCCTCTCGCGAGAACATCAGCTGTTTGCACTGTCCTCTGTCGGCGTGGAGGATTATCGGCATGGAACTCTGAGACTTCGGTGCTATCCGACGGGTCACAAAGAGGATCATAGAGATTAGAGGACAGAGTAAACCCTGCTGTCCCTCAGCCCAGGGAGCTGCAGTGCGCCTTCTGCACTTACGTAGTCACGCGAGGAAACCTCCCGCCAAGCGCAGGGAGGGGCAAATAGAGAAGGAGGAGGAAGGGAGGGAGGAGGGGAGGGAGGAGGGGAGGGAGGAGGGGAGGGAGGAGAGGAGGGGAGGGAGGAGGGGAGGGAGGAGGGGCGGAGCCAGGTTTGGCGAGGGAAAGTGCAATCCAGCGGGTAGGATGTTAACTCTTGAGACTGCATTGAGGTGTGGTATGATAATTATAACTAACTCTACTGAGTAGCACTTCGTATTTCTACAGCTTTATGGCTATCGAGCACTTTCAAAAACACTGAATCTCATTTAGGATAAAATGTTCCTTGGCCTGATATTTTAGCCACCTTCCCTCTGTAACAACGAAAGCAAAGTGTTTTTGGTGTTTTCGAAAGAATGCCAGGTTTGCCAGCAGTTCCGAAACCTGGCTGGTTTCAGAAACAAACGGAAGGAAAAATCCACTTGAGGGTTGGAGATGGTTGTGACACATTTCAGACTTGTGTCACACAGTAACAATCTTAACTGCCAAGGGCGGAACCGGGTATTTGACTTTGAAGTGGAACTCACCTGCTTTCTCATTGTGCCACCAAATGTAGGGCCTTGCCCTTCACTTATGTGCATATATGCGAATTTTCTTGTCTCAAAATTCAAAAGGTAACAAGGGGCATTCATTCATATAGTGAAAAAAGCCCACCCATCTCTAGAAGCCTTCCAGTTCGCCGGCAATGTTAAAAGTTTCTTATGACCCTCCAGAGATATTCTATGAACATAAAAGATGTATATTTTATGAATTACCCTTTTTACACAATGTGCAAACAGTGCATTTTTAGTCTAACATAAATTGGAGATCAGTTCATATCTGTTCATAAAACGTTGTCTCTTCTAATACCCATCTGCATAGTGATCCACGGTTAGACTGTACCATAATCTATTTAACCAGTCCCATTAAAAAATTGGTATTACGGTTATTTCCAGTCTTGCTGTAATAATCAATGCTGCAATGAAAAGCTTCGAAAAATGGTCACTAGTCGGATGAACTAGTAGTGGAATTGCTAGATCCAAAGATGTGCGTTTGTAATTTGGCTAATTCTAAGTTCTTTATAGCAGCTGTGCCAGTCTGTACTCCTACCAAAGTGCCTACTTGCCTACACTATCCTGTCAAAATTTCACTTGAGATTTAAGTTCCAAGTTGAAAAAGATCCCAAGCTCAAGAATTTCTATATCATACACATCTGCCTCTGGTTTTCTTTGATTGGATTGAGATCTGCCCACCCATCACTCACTTTTGGAAACTGGCAAGATGATCTAGGCTGAGAGCGTCCTCTGTAACATTTTCTTCCAGTTAATAGGGAACGTTAATAACATCTAGCTTCCATTCTACTCAAATTACTCTAAGTTCTTATATTCTGGCTATTCAGCATTGATTTAAGTTCTGATTCCAACAGTGTTTCATTGGTGAAATTGAACTCCAATTCCTATCACCGAAGATTCAAATTGTGCCTGGTCAGCCTCTAGACAGCAGCTCCAGAGCCAAGAGACAGATTTGCAGTAACTTGATTAGGGTAGAGGCAACAAAGACAAGGTCCGGAGGACTTAAGGACTATGTTAATATTTTGGCTTAAAACCTCAAAAAGATCTTCCACTGTACAAGTGACGATTGAATATGGGTAGAGAGGAGACCATTGGTCGTTTTAAAACAAGCTAACAAATGAAAAGACAACATGTATTTATAACTTTGACAATCTACCTATTCAGATAATTGAAGGGCAAAGTTAAACTCTTAGAAGTTATCTTGCTGCCAAAGCAAGCCAGAGGTCCTTCTAGAGGTTATAGACCCTGTGGAAATTAAATTCCTGAAACTGACTAGCTGCTTTAATTGCCTGTCATCCAGTATATTATCTGAAACTAATTATTTTATAAAATGCTCTGTGCTTTGAGTATTAAACTGACTAATTTGTTTATTGAATACAGTATGTCATCACTTTTTTTTTTTTTTTTTGGCCATGCTGCATGGCACGTGGGATCTTAGTTCCTGCACCAGGGGTTGAACCCGAGCCTCCTGCAGTGGAAGCTCAGAGTCTTAACCACTGGACCTCTAGGGAAGTCCCAAGTGTGTCATCACTATTTAATGTTGGAGTGCTTTTAGTTTCTGGGAAGACAAAGACTGCTTCCTAAGAACTCTTACATCCATCATTTTGTTTGAATCAATCAGTTCAGTGCTTTTTTAAAGTTATCTTTCCAAGCAATAATTCTGATTCATTTTTTTTCCACCAAATTGTGACTTTACATGGATTAACTGGCCCATAAATTCAAACAAAAAAGGCAAACCACTTTTGTTTGTTTTGTTTGCCAACTCAGACTCTATAGTCTGGAACGATAGTTACCAAATGCAGGTCTATGAACCTGTGAAGTTTTCCCTAGGCAGCTGCCAGATGAGAAGAGTAAGAACAGTCTGTTCATGTAGAGTAGCCAGATGTCCTTTCTTGGGGGGAAAAAATGGTCCTTTATTCAGAGATTGTCTTTCTCTTTCCATGTTAAGGTACTGAAATCTCTTTCCTTATATGAAATAATGTTGATAGTATATGGTAGTGTGTTTGTTTGTTTGTTTGTTTGCGGTACGCGGGCCTCTCACTGCCGTGGACTCTCCCACCGCGGAGCACAGGCTTTGGACGCGCAGGCTCAGCGGCCATGGCTCACGGGCCCAACCGCTCCGCAGCATGTGGGATCTTCCTGGACCAGGGCATGAACCCGTGTACCCTGCATCGGCAGGCGGACTCTCAACCACTGCGCCACCAGGGAAGCCCTGTTTGTTTGTTTTTATACACTTATTTGGCAAACTAAAAGGTAGTGAAAGCTATGAGTCCTCCCAAATCGTTTATTTTATCTAAAAATTTTATTTGGCAGGCAAATAAGTAGTCTAAATAATAGTCTAATCTAATAGTCTATGAATCCCTGATCTACAGATTTTTCTTTTCTTCCTAAAACTATAACTCAATAATTCTGTTCTGGAAAAAAAAAAAAAAGCTGAAGAAATCATTTAATTATTTAATTAAATTATGTTAGCCCTTGCCTTGGCGCAGACAGCTGTGCATTAACTTAAAGTAAAATGTAAGTTTCATGGGGGAGGAGATTTTATGTTTTGTTCACTGCTAGCTTTAGGGTACCTACCATAGTGCCTGGCACACAGTAGGCAATAAATATTTGTTGACTGAATGGTACTAGACATTATCTGTGTATTTAATTAGTGATAAATGTTTTACCCTATGTTGATATAAATCAATATTTTCAACAGTTTACATCTCTTTAGTCTCAAAACAAGATCACAAGACATTCGTTATAAGTTACTGGGTAGATTAGTTCTTAAAGTAGTTAGAGATACCTCCCCTTCTGCCTTGGGGAACTGCCTCCTTTGGGAGAAAGGCACCCCACCCAGCGAAGGCTGGAAGCCTGGTTACATTGTGCTGATTAGGCAAAGGATGGGGACCCGATCCAAGGTAGACCAATCAGGTTCTCCCAAGATTTTGCACTTGAAACAGAGACAATGAGTCCCGGCTTGTGGCTGGACTTGCAGTGAACTCAGAAGCTGTAGGAAAGCCATCAATTACCATGTCAATTCAGGAGCTGAGAAAGCTAGTCTGTGTAGAAGGAGAGAAGGATGAAGCAGATGTGCTAGAAAGCAGAAGAGGACAAAAAGAAGAGCATATGGGATTCTTGTGCGTTTCCCGGTTCCTATTCTCAACTCTTCTTAAAGCAGGACTGCACTCCTGTCTGTGGGTTCCCTTAGATACCCCCAGAATCCTTAGAATAAATGTTTTTTGTTTTTTGCGGTACGCAGGCCTCTGACTGTTGTGGCCTCTCCCGTTGCGGAGCACAGGCTTTGGCCGCGCAGGCTCAGCGGCCATGGCTCACGGGCCCAGCCGCTCCGCGACACGTGGGATCTTCCCGGACCGGGGCACGAACCCGTATCCCTTGCATCGGCAGGCGGACTCTCAACCACTGCGCCACCAGGGAAGCCCCTTAGCTTTTAATTAATGGCAATAAACTTGAACTACTTTAAGCAAACATGCACACAAACAAAACATCATCAACGACAAAACAAAACAAAACAAAACAAAAAGACAGGGCTTCCCTGGTGGCACAGTGGTTGAGAGTCCGCCTGCCGATGCAAGGGATACGGGTTCGTGCCCCGGTCCGGGAAGATCCCACGTGTCGCGGAGCGGCTGGGCCCGTGAGCCATGGCCGCTGAGCCTGCGCGTCCAGAGCTTGTGCTCCGCAACCGGAGAGGCCACAACAGTCAGAGGCCTGCGTACCGCAAAAAAAAACAAAAAACAAAGAGACAACAGAGTTATAAGTATCTCTTATGGTTATAAAGACAAAAGAATGTTTTTTTTTTCTGTGTTATTTAGTTTTACTCTAGGGCAGCAAAACTATACAATAAATACACAGTAACATTATAGTATGATTACAGAGGGAAGCATCAAATCAAGCTTTGAATTTTATTTTTAATATTTATTTATTTATCTTTTGGCTGCGTTGGGTCTTCGTTGCGGTGCACGGGCTTCTCATTGCGGTGGCTTCTCTTATTGCGGAGCACGGGCTCTAGGCACGCGGGCTCAGTAGTTGTGGCTCTCGGGCTCTAGAGCGCAGGCTCTAGTTGTGGCGCGCGGGCTTAGTTGCTCCGCGGCATGTGGGATCTTCCCGGACCAGGGCTCGAACCCGTGTCCCCTGCATTGGCAGGCGGATTCTTAACCACTGCGCCACCAGGGAAGCCCAAGCTTTGGATTTTGGAAAAAACTAAGTTGACTTTTAAAAATAACCTTTGTCTGATTTTAAGAGTACTACCTGTGTTACTACATTTTAGAAATTTAGAAAATGTAGAACAATA